TATGCATGCCTCTTTGATATATGATGTGGCAGCTCCTCCTTTCAAGAGACGAAGTAATTTCCCCACGTCTTGAATCTGGCCTGATATTTTGACTTGTTTTGACCAGTAGAAGTGATGTCGTACCAGTTTCAAAGCCTAGGCATCAGGAGTTCTTATAGCTTCCACTCTCCCTCTCTTGGAACACTGACTTGAGAATACCATATAATGAAGTCTAGTTCAGCCTACAGGATGATGAGTGGCTTTATGAAGAACCAAGGTTCTCCAACCAACAGCCAGCTGTCAGATATCTGAGAGACTAAATTTTAGACCATCTAGCTTCTGTTCACTTGCTAGATAACTGCATTCACATAAATAACACCAAGAAAGATCATCAGAATAACTATCCAGCTAATCATAGAGCAAACTGCAGACACGCAGAATTATGAGCCAATAAATAACTCTTGTTTTAAACTGTTAAGTTTTGGGGTGCCTTTATGCAACAATAGAAACTAATTTGGACAGGTGTCCAAGCAACAACAATTGAAAGTTTTTTTTCCAGGATGTTCATTTGTCCTGAAAGTTAAAATTTGTAAAGCACAGGAAAGGCCACCTCATTATATTTTATAATTTAAGTAAGCAGCCACAAGGTGGTTTGGTTTAGTGTTCATAAAACAAAACAAGCAAATTTACGCCTCAGTTTCTATACCTATAAAAGGAGAATATTCAACTAGATAATAATTGTAATAATTATTCCAAGTTTGGATTTCTATGGTTCTAAGAAATTCAAATAGAGTGAACCAATTTTTTTCTACTTTTTTAAAAAACAACTATACTTTAAGTTCTGGGGTACATGTGCAGATCATGCAGGATTGTTACATAGGTATACACATGCCATGGTGGTTTGCTGCCTTCATTGCCCCGTCACCTACATTAGGTATTTCTCCTAATGTTATCCATCCCCTATCCCCCCACCCCCAACAGGCTCCAGTGTGTGATGTTCCCATCCATGTGTCAATGTGTACTCATTGTTCAACACTCACTTTTGAGTGAGAACATGCAGCGTTTGGTTTTCTGTTCTTATGTTAGTTTACTGAGAATGATGGTTTCCAGTTTCATCTGTATTCCTGCCAAGAACATGAACTTGTCCTTTTTTATGGCTGCATAGTATTCCATGGCATCTATGTGCCACATTTTCTTTATCCAGTCTTTCATTGATGGGCATTTGTGTTGGTTTCAAGTCCTTGCTACTGTAAACAGTGCCACAATCAACATACGCATGCATGTGTCTTTATAATAGAGTGATTTAAGTAGAAAAAACACAGAAACAGGCGAGGCATAGTGGCTCATGCGTATAATCCCAGCACTTTGGGAAGCCAAGGCAGGCAGATCACTTGAGGTCAGGAGTTCAAGAGCAGCTTGGCCAACGTGGTGGAACCCTGTCTCTACTAAAAATACAAAAATTAGCTGGATGTGGTGGCATGTGCCTATAATTCCAGCTACTCTGGAGACTGAGGCAGGGAACAGCTTTAATCTGAGAGGCAGAGGTTGCATTAAACTGAGATTGCGCCACTGCAGTCCAGGCTGGGCAATAGAGCAAGACTCTATCTCAACTGAAAGAAAGAAAGAAAGAAAGAAAGAGAGAGAGAGAGGGAGGGAGGGAGGGAGGGAGGGAGAGAGAGAGAGAAGGAAGGAAGGATGAAAGGAAGGAAGAAGGGAGGGAGGGAGGGAGGAAAGAAAGAAAGACAGACAGACAGAAAGAAAGAGAAGAGAAGAAGAGAGAAGAGAAAAGACACAGAAACATAGCACTTTTACTCCAGATACGTTTAAGATTGAGTTAAATTATATTAACTACTGGCCAGCTGCATCCATATCTGTAATTTCCATTAGGTTCTTGGACAGAGAGATAGTGTAAATCATAATAACAAAACAAAACACAGGCTTTGGAGCTTGACACACTTGGAGTGAAACCCTGGCTTGGTTGCTTTCCAGCAGTGTGGCCCTAATCTAGCTATTTCCCCTCTAAACCTTGGGCTCCTTATCTTTAAAAATTATGTTTAACTATATACACTTTGCAATTATTTTGAGGGTAAAGACATATGTTAAAGAAGCTACACATTCAATAGTAGGAATGCAATGGAAAAAATTTACTATAATGAGTTATAAACACAATTGTATTGTAATATAGTACATGAAATAATAGACATATACAAGAAGCATAATACAAATTAGATTTTCTTTTTTTATACTGCATTTATTTCAGATTAACTTCCTGCAAGTCAGGAAATCAGGCATAGAAACAATTCTTTATTCTGATATTTGAACCACCACATTAACGAATAAAGAAAAGTCTTACTTTAATAAGAGCAGCTCTGGATCTAAATGACTACCTGTTGATTTTTTTCATTCAACATTTGTGTATTTAAAATCTTGACTTTATGCCCAGCTCCATGTCAGTTTGCTAAAGAGGATGGAAAGCACCTGCTTCTGAGAAAATTCCTCTTTCTCTCTATTCATTTTGAGCTACTACCACAACTCCACAAGCATCACCAATAGCTTGGAGCTGAGGGTATTCCCAGACTCTCCATACTGGCATCAAGGTGGAGGTCGTGGGGAGAAGACAAGACTGGTGAGGGTGAGACCCTCGTGTTGTAAAGAAGGAAGTAGGGCAGAGCTATGAAAGATGAGTATCTGTCACGGCTCTGTCACACTTCCTCTCACCTACTCCCCCAGTTTTATTGATCTCCTTAATATTCCGCCATCTTCTTCCTACTTCGGTATCATTGCTCAGTATTTTCTCTCCCTGCCTGGAATAATCTCCCCAGAAATACACCAGGCTCACTTCCTCACTTACATCAGTTTTCTGGTGTTCTCTTAATAGACAGGCTTCCTTGACCACACTATAGACAGCAATACCTTCATCCCTTCTCCCTGCTTAGTTGTTCTCTGTAATGGTGTTTCTCAAAAGTCAATGTGCACAGGAATCACCTCGGAATTCTATTAAAATGCAGATAGTGATTCAGTGGGTCTAGGGTAGGGGCCTCAGATTCTGCATGTCTAACAAACACTCACTGATATCATCTGTATCACTCTACAGCACTTATAATTATTGAGACAATATATATTTTCTTCATTAGTGTATTGTCTTTCTCTTTCAATTAAGATATATGTTTTATGAATGGAGGCACTTCAATATTATTCTAGGCTATATTCTCAGCAACAGTATAATGCTCAATACATGGAAGTTGATAAATATTTATTAAGTGGATGAATTATATATGTTGCTGAAAATCAAACCTGAAACTTTGAATGTAGTTTTTTAATAAACATTATTGTTACATTTAGGTAAATTACACATTAAATGGATTTCTGTGCCCTGGTTTTAAAACCTTCCTACCATGTGTAAAGTGGCTTATATGAGGCATAAATCCATAAGTTCAGAGTTCAACAAACTTACAAAAAATCATTGAAACACAATCTCTTCACAGTTACAGTGTCTGAGGCTGAATATACCAGAGACAATCAGAAAACAGACACCAATAAATGATAATATAGGAACAAACTGCATATTTGTTGAGGAAATCAAAATTTACAGTTCATAAAAAGAAATAAACCTGATATGGTTAGTTAAATATAACCCTGATATAGCAATTTTAGTGTCTGAGATTGACAAAAGAACCATAATGCTAACATATCTTTTCCAGGTCTTCAAAGTTGTTAAATCTAACTCTGATGACTGCTCAGTAATTCTGGAGGGCACATGAGATGTGCTGTCTCCAGATTGTAGGACTTCTTTTAATTCAAACACTATTTATGCCTTCTAAGGGATTATCATTGTGCTACCCCAGCTGTGATTCTTCCAGTTTGGTATTTTGCTACTTGATATATAATAAAAATCAACTTTACCTGAAGAACCAGTGACCATGCTTTAATGCTTCAATCATTTGACCTTTGAAAAGTAGACAAGGCACACACACACACACACACACACACACACACACACACACACACACACACAAAACACCCAAAGATGCTTTTAGTTCTGCCTAATTATAGAATGGTACAGCAAAGAAGTTTTCTGGCTTCTTTCCCCTGAGAGTCAAAGCCAGCATTAACATTGCCATGAGAATTTATGAATACCTTCTATCAACAACTGAATAGGAAGTAAAATAAAATAGACTGAAAATATGAAGTGAAAACAAATGTTTAAACTACAGCTAAATGAAGAAATATGCCTTCCCCAAGTCAGCTTGTGGTCCTCCCAATCCATTTTTCTTTTTCTTCAACTAAAAATGGAAGAGCTCTTAAATTGCTTTCAAATGGGACAGGGAGAGGGGCTAGGAGGACTGTGTGTGTTTCTGGGGTATCTGTGATTTTTGTAGACATATTTGAAGAATATTGTCTAAATGATATAGGATTCATTGAGATGGCATCCTCATATATTTAGTGTTAAAGGATACTCAGGTAGTTTATCCTGAATTCCTCTTCAGGGACAATGCACACATCCCCGGATTGTAGAAATATCAGTTGTTAATGGTGTTCCTTACTAATAATTGCCTTCGGCCTCAGAAAACTTGTCCAAGTTGTCCTTCCACTCTCAGGTGGCAGCCAGCCCATGGCCAATGGCTAGTTGGATTAGGAAATACAAAGGCCAGGCCCACTGCCTGCAATTCCGGACAGCTCTGCAGAGCCAACCCAGCTTTAGCACTTCTATGAGACTGGCTTAGATCTCTGTTGCAGCCAAATCACATTTCAGACTCTCCCACAATCTCCCCTGTGCTCTTCTCTTCCATGTGTGTGTATCTCCAGAGAACACTCCCCACATCCTGTTGTCATGCAACACTTTGAATCAAAGTCAATTTCCAAGGAATGTACTCTAAGACTTTTTGCATAGTCAATAACACAAAGGTTTATCTGTGTCTTCAGAATTGAAATGAATTTTCTCTCTCACTCAGAGACCACTTCATAGTTGTGCTTTTGAACAAATAGCTAAAGCCAAAGAGAATGGGATCCAGTATACTTACAGGCTCCAACAGTGGTCAGTCCAGGAGCTAGGTCAGGCTGCTTTGCCCTCAGCTCTTGAAGTAAATGGTTTACCGCCTTCCACTCAGAGCTCAGATCTTCTAACTTTCTCTTTAATAGAAAAGCATACACATTACTTATTCGAGTAACACCTTGAAGATAACTTAATTCATGAACATTTTAATCCATTTGGTGAACATATTATTGGATTTCTATTATATTTTACTTCTAAATTAACTTTATTGGATAGAATTTCTTTTAAAGGAATTATAATTATTTTAGCCAACCACCCTACAAATATTTATCTATTGCTCCATACAAACTCTTTGTCCAGGCACAATTTTATTCAAAGAAAATAGAGTGCAAATATTAGTGAAAACAAAAAAAAACAAAAACAGTTCCCTCTTAGCAACTGGCTTAATTCTTGAGGAGTATCTATTGTACTTGCATACTTAAGTTATCCAGATAACTTTAGAAAATGCCTAATGTCCTGGCTCATCCTAGATCAATTATATCAGAATCTCTTAAAGGGAACATCTGCAATGGACATGGGAATATACTACTCAGAGCCCCCTTCAAGGAAAGACTCTTGTTCTGGATGATGGAAATGATGTCAGGAGACATTCTTCAGTTGTCAGTCCCTTCAGGGACTACCTCAGCTGCAGAGAGCTGCCTTGTCCAAGGTCATATATTTTCCCAAGGAAGCACTCATTCAGTGACTGATCAAGGTGAGGGTATAAAGGTCTGACTAATTTGTTCAAAGCAGGACAAATTTGAAGAGCTATTTTAGCTGCAGAACTCCCCATGGCATCAGCCAAGCCTGTATATGGCCAGTGGTGTGCTGGTACATGTACATCAACTGGATCTCTGATCTCAGGGTTTTTAAAAACAGCTTGTTTTTAGTGTTTGCCAATTTCTGTGGTGGAAGTATTCCCACCACAGTCATATTTAAATTACCAAGATAAAATCAAGTGGCTCAAAAAATGTCTGGCAATGTAACAGTAGGTTCTCCTGAGCTGGTTCCACCTTAATGGGCAGCTACATGATAAGTTACAGCCAGTACAATGTGAGCAGAAGTGTTGTCATTTTGGAGCTGAGGTTTTGAAAAAATTGAGTGAGGTTTTTATAGGATTTTCCTTTCCATTGCTGGAAGCAGACGACTCTAAGGTCCTACAGCAAAACTTGACAACTCACTGGAAAGAGAATTAAGTCCTAATGCCCTAGAGCACTTGTTCTCATGCTTTAGGATCAACAGAATCACCTGAAGTCCTTGCTCATTGCTGCATAGCAGCCCCAGAGTTCTGGATTTAGTAGATACTGGGTGGAGCTCAATAATTTGCATTTAAAAATATTTTGTTGCACTTCAGGTTCTGGGGTACATGTGCAAAACATGCAGGATTGTTGCGTAGGTACATATATGGCAATGTGATTTGCTGCCTGCATCCCCCTGTCACCTATGTCTGGCATTTCTCCCCGTTATCCATCCCCAACCTTCCTACCCACCTCTGTCCCTCTCCTACTCCCCCGCAACAGACGCCAGTGTGTGATGTTCCCCTGCCTGTGTCCATGAGTTCTCATTGTTCAACACCCACCTATGAGTAAGAACATGTGGTGTTTGTTTTTCTGTTATTTTTATTTTTTTTTTGAGACGGAGTTTCGCTCTTGTTACCCAGGCTGGAGTGCAATGGTGCAACCTTGGCTCACCGCAACCTCCGCCTCCTGGGTTCAGGCAATTCTCCTGCCTCAGCCTCCTGAGTAGCTGGGATTACAGGCATGCACCACCATGCCCAGCTAATTTTTTGTATTTTTAGTAGAGACGGGGTTTCACCATGTTGACCAGGATGGTCTCCATCTCTTGACCTTGTGATCCGCCCACCTCGGCCTCCCAAAGTGGTGGGATTACAGGCTTCAGCCACCGCGCCTGGCCTGTTTTTCTGTTCTTGTGTCAGTTTGCTGAGAATGATGATTTCCAGATTCAATAATTTGCATTTTTAACAATTTTCCAAGAGACATTGATGCTGATTGTCTATGATCCTAAGATATCTATTATACCTAATCAGTTGCCTGAGCATTTATGATAGCCTAGATATGTACCATTCTTGGAAACATAATAGACCCTCAGATAATTTTCAATAAGATTTAGTTCTCTTGCAAAACCCTAGGAGAGAAAGGCTACCAAGGGAATGGCAGGCAGAGGCAGAAGATGAGCAGGACCTAAGTTTCTGTAACAACACATGCAGGAAAGCTGCTTGACTAGGAACACATACACTGGATTGTCATGTGAACAAGGAAAAAAATACTGTGTTAAGCCACTGAAATATTTAGTTCCCTAGAAGCAGCAAGACCTTACCAGTATAGTAGCACTAGTCACAAAACTTTTACCAGTGCCTACGAGAGATAATAGCTGCATTTATATATCACTGTAAATTCCAATGCTTATGTTACGAGGAATACAAATAATGTATTGATGTTGGATTTGGTTAAAATAAAAACATTAGCAGAAATTACATTTCTAGTCTGAAGAATCAGAGTTGGAAAAGAGCCAGAAACTACAAACTCTTTAAAATAAATAGGAATGGCAATGTACCCAACCTAATTGGAATATTTTATATACATGTTGTAGTTTTATGCTAATCATTTCAATGAAACCATTAATTTATTTATTCCAGAAAAAAATGTTCAGGGGCTACTCTGTCCTAGACTTTGTGCCAGTTACTAAGCTTACAAAACTGAAGTTAGTAACCTCCAAGCATCCACAGACATGTGAGTAAATTAGAACAGAGATTTTAGGAAAAAATGATAATTTCAACAAGACACCTTGGGAGACCAGCTTAACTCAGCCTGGAGAGGTCAATAGTTTACCTGCAAAAGCTAACATTTGGATTGATCTTGAAAGATGACCAGGAAGTTTTCAGAAGGCACCATTCGAGTGCCAGAGAAAGAGCACTTCAGACCGAAGGGAAAATGGCAAGAGATATCGAGCCTTTTCAAATAAATGCAGTGTGTCCTGGCTATCTAGACTACAGCGTTTACAAGTAATGATATGGACCTGCAAGAATGAAATTTATTAAGGCCTTGTAATGTGGGATTATTTGATTCTCTTCTAAAACCATAGAGTAGATTGAAGTGTTAGAGAAGAAGAGCAATATAATATTATTTGTGTTTTACATCATGGAGGCTTTATCAAAGGGGAGCAGAGCTGGGAGGCTAACATGGTAATTGAATCAGGAAATGGTTCAGCCTGACTGAAGGCTTTCACCATACAGAAAAAGGTAGAGGGGTGCGTGCGTGTGTGTGTGTGTGTGTGTGTGTGTGTGTGTGTGTGTGTTTCTTGCCTATGATAGTTGAGATTTTGAGCTGGTAAACAATGAAGAGAAACTTCCCATCAAGTTGTTTGTTTCTTCCAGTCTACCCTATCAGTGTGTTTGTCTCCAGTCAAACTATGTGCCTTTTACGAGGCAGGACTGAATCCTTATTGCCTTGTATGGTGTTTTCTTTATGTCTATTCCAGTGCTTCCTATTAAGAGGAGTTCAGTAAATATTTCTGAACTGAATCAAATTAAATAAAAATGGCTACTTAGGCTGGGTGCAGTGGCTCACGTCTGTAATTCCAGCACTTTGCGAGGCTGATGAGGGCAGATCATGAGGTCAGGAGATAGAGACCATCCTAGGCAGCATGGTGAAACCCTGTCTCTACTAAAATACAAAAAATTAGCCAAGCGTGGTGGGACGTGCTGGTAATCCCAGCTACTCGGGAGGCTGAGGCAGGGGAATCACTTGAACCTAGGAGGTAAAGATTGCAGTGAGCTGAGATGGTGCCACTGCACTTTGGGCAACAGAGCAAAACTTCATCTCAAAAAAGAAAAATGGCTACTTTAATAAAAGCTAAAAGAAAGAGACAAATGAGTTTTCCTTTCCCCAACTTGATTACAATGTGAACTACATATATATCATGGATTACTTTTTAAAAAATATATATAGGACTTGAAAGATCCTATGTAGGTTTTCCAGGTGTACAATCATTTTATTAGGGTTATTTTTTTATTTTGAAACAGGGTCTCACTCTGTCATCCAGGCTGCTGTGCAGTGGCAAGATCTCAGCTCACTGCAGCCTTGACTTTCTGGGCAATCTTCCCACCTCAGCCTCCTGAGTAGCTGGGACTACAGATGCATGCCATCATGCCTGGCTGTTTATTTCATTTCATTTTATTTGTTGTTGTTGTTGTTTGTATATTTTGTAGAGATGGGGTTTTATCATGTTACCCAGGCTGGTCTCAAACTCCTGGACTCAAGTGATATGCCCATCCCAGCCTCCCAAAGTGCTGAAATTACAGGTGTGAGCTACCACACCTGGCCCTATTAGGCAATGATAATTCCTGAACCAAACTGTATTTAAAAAATAATCTTGGCTGGGCATGGTTGCTCACGCCTGTAATTCCAGAACTTTGGGAGGCCAATATGGGAGAATCACCTGAGATCACAAGTTCAAGACCAGCCTGACCAACATGGAGAAACCCCATCTCTACTAAAAATATAAAATTAGCCAGGCCTAGTGGCACATGCCTATAATCAAACCTACTCAGGAGGCTAAGGCAGGAGAATCGCTTGAACCCAGTAGGTGGAGGTTGCAGTGAGCTGCACCATTGCACTCCATCCTGGGCAACAAAAGTGAAACTCTGTCTCAAAATAAACAAACAAATAAATAATTAATCTCATAGACCAGGGTCACAAATTCAGGTCTCTATAGGGACTAGGTGTTAACAAAGGAAAGAATAAGCCTTGTCTAAATCAGAGAGGTATAACTTCATTTGCAGCTGCTGACTGCCAACAGAAAGGTAGGCATAAGTTAAAAAACAAAAAATAGAAAAACAAACAAAATACCCTGCTGATCATATTTCCTCATCAGTGTATACCAGAGAAATTTCTCTCACATTCTTAAGGTCATAAGGAAGTATAAGAAATTTGTTGCTGTGTTATGGGGAATTGAGGCCAACATGGGTATGTATGTGAAGGAAATGGGTAACTGAATATGATGGATGCATGTTAAGAAGTAGTATACAATAGTTAAAATCAATAAACTAGGTATATATAGAGTAATGTAGATGGTTTTT